CGCCCCGCCCCACGCCTGCGCAGTCCCGAGTTCCTGCTCCGCGCCTGGAAGCGTCTGCGCGCGCCGGCAGCTAGGCCGCTCGCTTACCTACCTCTGGTCAAGGTCGTGGCTGACAGCATTCCCGGCTTTGTTTTTATGGAATAAAATTCATCTAATGTAGCGCTAACCGTTTGGCTGTATTTTATAGCGTTTTGTACTACACAGGACACTTCGTGTTTGTGGCCTACGTCATTTACATAATGCTATGTCATTTTACATAATTACATGCAGGTTCACTTAATGAGGCGATTCCGTAATTATAGTATAGGTATGTGTGAGGTAACGCCTAATGTGCTAGAGCACCAGGTGACGTACCCACCTGTTGTCAGCCAGCAGTTCTAGCTCCAAAACATGCTCATCGCCCCAAAAGAAAGTCCTGTGCCCTCTGAGTATTTATTTTTAAAGGACAAATTCATTGCTCCTCACCACCCGCCACCCTTAGCTGGCCAGTGCTGCCCACTGGCCGTCAGCCCGCTGACCTCAGGACAAACACCACCCTGAAGCCCCGACCAGCTCCCCCAGTTGCCCCTTCTTGGCGCTCCCCTTGGCTTCCACTGCCCTGACCTGACTGCCGTATCCTGGGGGTACCCAGGGCACTGGGGAGCGAGCAGTCACACTGGCGCCGAGGCCCAGGGCCTAGACTGAAGGCTCTGGTCCCACCTTAGGGCCCAAGCTCCGCACACCCCACCCAACGCCAGGGTGGGGCCCAGCGCTGGACCCCGGGCCTGGGAGCCACGGGGTGTGTGGGGGGGGTGGTTTTCAGATGGCGCCAGCTCCCTGTCGGCCACCGCGTGCCCTTGGCACAGGCAACCACTTATTAAAGGGTGGCCGCCACTCACTCAGTCACTCTGTGACTCAGCCCCCGTCGCGGTCCCCAGCCTGGTCGCCGCCAGTGCAGACCCCCTGCGGCGGAGAAAGGCGGTCCCACCAGGGCTGGGGCAGGTCTGCTGCTCTCAGGCCAGGTGAGCAGAGTTCAAGTTCTACATAGGATGGTCTTTCCCACAATATCTATCAAGCTATTTGTTAGTTTCGCAAACTAACAAACAACTGGGCAATGCGGGGTGACCTGAAAGCCTCAGCCTCAGCGTGAGCGGGGCCCAGGGGCAGGAGAACCAGGCCAGCGCCCCAACCCCTTAGCACTAATGCTTTGCGGGGTCCAGCAGCTCGAAGTCCTCAGGCGTAGTCCACAGGTGACCAAGCCAGGTCCCAGCAGAGAGGTCCCTGGTCCAGGCAGAGGCCCTCTTGGGCGCCAGCCTGGCCACAGGAGCACAGAGCAGGCTGCGGCCAGCTGCAGGGCACAGTCTGGTTGCTTCCAGGCAATTCCAGTGTGCCGCCGCGCGCCCAAGGCCAGGGGCTCTGTCGAGGTGCTCTGTGGCTCACAGGGTCCACATGCCGTTTGTAGACTTTCAGTTTCTCGGTCCCTGGCCAGTGTGTCCGGCTGTTCAGATTAGGCTGGGGCACTCCGCCCGGGGATCTGTTCCCTAACCACGGGCTGTGTCCTTAAGTCCACAGGGCATTGTCTAATTTTCTTGCCCAAAGTGACTTGTGCTTTGACTTTAGTGACACTTGATATCTGACATGGCTCATGTGCCGACTTCATGACTTATTCAACAGTGTAAATGCTTGAATGCTTGCACAATAAAAGTCTTTTCCAGCAGGGACTGCCCTCCCTGTAGAGCAGGGGAGGGACAGAGCTGCACTGCCTAAGGCTGAGGTGGGGCCTGACGGGGTGTGTCTGGAAGCAGGAAGCCAGCCTGTTCCTCTTCTCAGTACACGCTGCCCAGGCCAGCACGGCCGGTTCCTGACACGTCTGCTCCGCTCCCAGCTGGGCCCACTGTGGAGACAGCCCCTCTGCACAGGTACGGGAGCCTTTGGGGCACACTGGCGGGGGAGGGGGGCGTTAGCCCCACCCTGGGGAGGGGCTCTAGAGGAAAGGCAGGGCTGGACCTAAGCCTGGTGTTGACAGCCTGGGCCGGGCTTTGGTTGAGGCAAGGAACAGTCACCTCAGCCGCTTCTTACCCTTGGCCCCTCTGGAGACCGCTGGCCCAGAGCCTCCGAGCCTGTCCTTGCCAGCCCAGTGCCATCCAGAACGCACAGACATCCCAAAATAGGTACCAGTGAGGGGCCAAACGAGCCTGAGGGACAGAACAGGTGGCGGGGAGAAACGGCATTGCGTCCAGCCTGCGAGGTGAGGTGCGCAGAGGGGAGAGACAGGCGGCCAGCACGGGCCTGGTGGGAAGGGAGCCTGAGGGGCAGGTGGAGCAGTGACAGGCGGGAGCTGGCAGAGGTGGAGGGGCTCGGCTACCTGGCCACAGCTGCCCGTACTGCGAGCTCCCGAGCTGAGCCCTGAAGGCAGGGCAAGAGGAGCCTGAGGCCAAGATAAGCCAAGAGAGAAAGTCGGGGGCTCTGTGGTGTGGGAAAGAGGCTCCCTCACACTGCAGTGGTGTGGTTTCTCTGAGAGCTCCCCCAGCCAGGCAGTCATGCTGCTGGGGCTTGTCGTGAAGATTCCGCCTCAGGAGGGCGGCGAGAGGGCCTCGGTGCTACTCGTGGTAAAAAGTTGGAATCTCTGAAGTGGCCGCTCCACAGACAGTGCCTGGTGTCCAGCCAAGCAAACTGAAAGCAGAAACTCAAGCATTTGTACACGCCTGTGCTTGGGGCATGATTTGTGACCAAGAGATGGCGGCCACCTGAGTGCCCACTAACTGACAGGGCCAGCCGCGTGCGCGCCTCCCACGCAATGGGATGCTATTCAGCCTTGAAAAGGAAGGGCATGCGAGAGGGGCCTGCCCCGTGGCACAGGGCTCCGTCTCAGCGCCATCAGGCTACTGCCGGCCACTGCGGTGTGAGTGCGATCCCCAGCCAGGGAGGGGCCCAGGGCGCGACAGACCCCTCCTGTCTCCCCGCTGCCCTCGCAGCAGTGGGTCTCAGTCCATCTCCTTGCTCTGTGCCCCACTGTCTCTGGGGCGTCCTCTCACACCCCCCGGACCTCTGGCCTGTACCCCAGTTCTTGTGTGCATAAATCTTAAAAAAAGAAGTGGGGGTGCAGGCCAGAGGTTCAGGGGACTGAGAGGACTCACCATAGACAGAGTAGAGATAACAGTGGGAGCAGCGGGTGGGTCTGGAGGGGTCTACTGCACCCTGTGGGTCCCTCCCTGGCTGGGGATCGAACTTCTGCTGCTATGGCTGCAGAGAGCTTCATAACCCGTTGCGCCACCGGGGAGGGCCCTGCACGCCAGTTCTTGTGTGCATAAATTAAATACATTTTGAAAAGGGAGGGCATGTGAGGCTGCAGCAACACGCATCGAATTGGGGGTGCAGTGCTCTGTGAAATCAGCCAGTAACAAAGGCAAATGTTCTCACCTCACTGGCACCAATTCACAGAGACAGAGAGCAGAAAGCGGGTCCCAGAAGGGGGTGCCGGGACAGTGGAGCTGGTGTCTCATGGGGACAGAGGACCTTTGGGGAAGAGGTGGGTGCTGTGCATGGCCACATGGCCAGCGGGGGTGTGCACCCCCGTGTGCATGGGCTTCATCCCATGTCCTTCTGGAACCAGAACTGAGCCCGGCTGCGACAGCACCCTGGGGCGACCTGGACCCCTCCAGAGGTCCCTAGCCTCCTGTTCACAGTCATGCACCTCTCAGCTGTGCTTCTGCTCCTGCTCCTGGATGCGGGAGGTGAAGCTTTTCGCATCTGCGCCTTCAACACCCAGCGCCTGACGCTGGCCAAGGTGGCCAGGGAGCATGTGATGGACACCTTGGTTCCGGTAGGTTCTTTGCCTCAGCCCCTCAGGGCCACGAGCCAAAGCTCCAACCCCGCCTGACCAGCGACCTGTCCCCGAAGAGAGAGGGCTTCCCGAGACATGGGTGCAGAGATGTGCGCACTCTCCTTCCCTGTCGTTGGCCTCAGTCTCCCCCTCTGTGGAATGGGCACAGTGCAGGTGGCGTTGCACCCAGTCTCCTCCCGGGTCCCTTCTAGTGCCCGCTCTCGGTGGGCCGCAGCCCCGCACCTGGCCGCTCAGCTGTGCCAGCGCCGGGTCCCCAGGGCCAGGCACCCCCGACGCCACGTTCAGCCCTTCCTGTGTGCGCAGATTGTGGCGCGCTGCGACATCATGGTGCTGCAGGAGGTGGTGGACTCTTCGGACAGCGCCATTCGCCTCCTGATTCGAGAGCTCAATCGGTGAGAAGGGCCCGTGGGCCAGCCCCGGGGCCAGCGCAGACCTCGGGGCCTGAGCCCAGCTTCTCCCTCCCTGGCAGGTTCGGTGACTCCGGGCCCTATGAGTACCTGAGCAGCCCCCAGCTGGGGCGGAGCACGTACATGGAGAAGTACGTGTACGTGTACCGGTGAGTGCACTGGGTGGCCGGGGCAAGGGCCAGCGGGAGCCCCTCCAGGGCGGCCTCCTCACAGCCTATCTCCTGCACGCTTCACTTGGGACTTTCCCTGCTCCTCAGGACGCGCTGAGCCTCATGCCCACTGCAACCCCTCCCCGTTTGCCGGGGCAGATCCTGGGGCAGTGGTCACAGTGGCTGCGGTCTCTGGGAAGAGGGCCAGTGAGGCCACATTGTGGGTCTCGGATGGGCCCAGTTTCCAGGAACAGCCCTTGGGCCCTGGGGGCAAGTCCTTTGGGTCGAGAGGACAAGGGGCCCTTTTCTTTGTGTCGTGAAATTGTGCCAGATCTGAATTCCCTCAAACGAGCAGGGACAGACATGCATCCCCACAGGAACACTGCTGGCCGTGGCACCGATGTCCCCAAGGGAATGACCTGGGTCTGTCAGCCAAAGGTGGCCGCACTCACGCTGCCTGTTGTGCAGCTGTGGGAAGGAGTGACGTGCTGCTCGACCCCCGGCTGTGGGTGGCCCCGAAGTGCTTGCTCAGTGACGGCCAGAGGAGGCTGCTGCCCAGACAGAGTGGGGCCGGGGGCGGAGGGGGCGGCCTCAGCAGGCGTGGGGCTTCCGTGGGGTGACGAGGGTGAACTCAAGCTGTGGCGTGGCGATGGCTGCCCAGCTTTGAGTGTGAGGCAGCTCATGTATGTGGCTTAACCCAGCGCCCAGTGGACTGAAAAACAGTTTGGGGGGCAGGTCTGCTGCCCCTCGGGCTGCTGCTCAGGGTCCCTCCCCAGTGCCAGCCCCAAACCAGCGCCATGGGTCCCCTGTTCCTGGGCCCCGACCCCCAGGTCACGCAAGACGAACGTCCTGGAGTCCTATGTGTACAACGACAAGGATGACCTGTTCGCCCGGGAGCCCTTTGTGGCCCACTTCACTTTGCCCAGCAATGGTAGGAGGGCAGTGGAGGGTGGCAGCGCCGCCAGGTGGGTGGGAAGGGGTCTCTGGCTGCTCTGGCCCAGGTCTTGGCCCCAGAGGGGCCTGGGTGGGTGGCAGCCTCTGTGCCCGGCCTCGTAGGGCTCCCCAGTGTGGTGCTGGTCCCGCTGCACACCACCCCAAAGGCCGTGGAGAAGGAGCTGAACGCCCTGCATGACGTCTTTCTGGATGTCACCCGGCACTGGCAGAGCAAGGTAGGGCCGGGCGGGCAGCACACTCGAGGGACAGGCTGGGCCAGCCTGGCGACTGCCTGACAGCTGCCCCTCTCCAGGACGTCATTCTGCTCGGGGACTTCAACGCTGATTGTGCTTCACTGCCCAAAAAGCGCCTGGGTGAGCTGATGCTGCGGACTCAGGCCGGCTTCCACTGGGCAATCAGCGATGAGGAGGATACCACCGTGCGGGCCAGCACCCACTGTGCCTACGACCGCATCGTGCTGCATGGCAAGCGCGCCCGGGACCTGCTGCAGGCCGCGGGCGCCTTCCGCTTCCCGGAGATCTTCCAGCTCAGCGAAGCGGAGGTACAGCCAGGGTTGAGGGGACAGGGCCCAGGGAAGGCCCTGGGCTGACATACACACGCCTTGCACTCGCCTCCAGGCTCTCAACATCAGCGACCACTACCCTGTGGAGGTGGAGCTGAGCCAGGCGGCGAGCAGGCTCCAGCCCTTCGGCCTGGCCAGCCTGTTGCTGCTGTCGCTGCTGCTGCCACTCCTGCCCCCACCCCTGGACCTGGTGGCCTGACCCCGATGCCCGTAGACGTGGCTACAGCTGCACTGCCTTCGGGACCTGGCCTCCTGACCGTGCTGCCCTGTGGCCCCAGCGATTCTTGAGGGGCTCACTCCGCCCCTAGAACGGTAGTTTCGCTTGGCTTGGCGGGGCCCAGGCCTGGACCAGAAGGTAGAAGAGAAGGCGGAGATGGGCTCGGGCCATCACAGTAGGCTCCAGGGCTGAGGGAAGTGGGGAGAGAGCACAGGGGACCGTGGCTGAACTGCAGGGCTCAGGAAAAGGAATCACAACATCCTGTTTTTATTCTGACAGACAGACAGTAAAGCTACTTGAATGCACACAGGACCAAGTCGGACTGGAAGGGTGCTATGTGCAGATGCCCAACGGCTGTCCCGAGCACAGGAGCCAGAGGCCTCCACGCAGGACAGGCCTCCCTGTGGTGCAGGCGGCAATGCCATCCCAGCCAGGGAGGGACCCACAGCGCAGCAGCCCTCTCCCCGCTGCCCCCTCCTCGAAAGTGGACTTCACCCACCTGCCTGTCCCGCTCCCCACTGGCTCTGGTGAACCCGCTCAGTCCCGCACCTCTGGCCTGCGCCCGGTTCTTGTGTGCAATAAACCTTCTCCAAAACACAATGCATTCAGCCAGTGTCGAAGCTCACACCAAGGAATGAGAACATGCCAGGTGCTGGCCTTGAAGGCCAAGACCCGCGGGGGGCCTCCCTCCTGGCTGGGCAGAGCGCAGCTGCACCAAGGTGCAGTGCTCAGGCCCCACAGGTGCTGCGGAGCAACTGCAACGCAGCTCCACGGCCCAAGAGCAGAGCTTAATTAAGAAAAGCTGGTGGGGCACGAGGGCAATTAAGTGTATGTTCTAGAACCATCTGTCCAAGACAAAGCTACTTTCAGACTTCAGAAATGGCTACAGATGAAGGCTGTTTCAGCATGGCAGGTCTGACCCTCACCACCCACCTGGCTGGTGCCCAGGCCGTCACCCCTCAGCTCTTCGCAGCAAAGTAGCCCTTGGGAGACCAGGGCACAGAATGCTGAGGCCAAAGGGGGCACTTTGTAGTTGGCCTCCAGGGCCGGGCCCCTTACCAGTCCACTCCTACCCCTCCCGTTCTTTTCCCTCATTGCTGCTGCTGCCTTTGCTCAGGAAAAATGACCACAGGATTCAGAGGCACCCCCACCCCGATGTACTGCCCCACAAAGGCAAATGCCAAGACACACAGCTAGTTAAGAATGCAATCTTTATTTGCATCACCAAAGGGCAGCTCTTGCTCTCAGGAGTGCAGGGCCCGCCATTTGTCCAGGGGGCCTCGGTTTGGGATGTACTTGACACCACAGCCATCTGGAATGAGGCGCTTCTCGGCTACCATGTCTTCAAATTCATCTGCATTAAACTTGGTAAAGCCCCACTTCTTGGAAATATGTATCTGAGGAGGAGAAAAATCAGCCAGAAGGCCAGGGGACTAGGGCTAGGAAGGGCACAACAGGCCACAGCCGGACTTACTTTCTGGCGGCCAGGGAACTTGAACTTGGCCCTACGCAGAGCTTCGATGACGTGCTCCTTGTTCTGCAGCTTGGTGCGGATGGACATGATGACCTGGCCAATGTGGACCCTGGCCACGGTGCCCTGAGGCTTTCCAAAGGCACCCCGCATACCTGTCTGGAGCCTAATATTGGGACAACACGTGGTCAGACACGAAGGACCCCCCCCACCCCAAGACTTGTCTCCAAGGTCCCTTAGAGCAACCCACACCATCAACAGGCTGCGTACACTACCGAGGAAGCTGCTGTGTGCAGCCAGTGCACACCGGGCCCCACGGGAGGAGGACACGGTCGGCTTAGCTGACTGCAGAAAACGAACCTCAGTTAGAGGTGGCAGAGTCGCGCAAGGCACCAGTTCCTGCTTGCTGCCAGATGGCCACCACCTGGCTCAAAGCAGGAATGGCTCCTTGCAAGCACCTGCCCCGAGCAGTCCAAGGCCTTTCCTGTTGGAGTACCCACTGCTCAGATGTGGAGGATGGGTGCCACCGCCGTCCACTCTACAGCCTGGGCCTAGTTCTGTGGTGGGGTTCACCTTACCTGTCAGCTCCAGCACAGGACAGCATCTTGTTGATGCGGATGACATGGAAGGGGTGGAGCCGCACCCGGATATGGAAGCCATCTTTGCCACAGCTTTTCACCATGTACTTATTGGCACAAATACGGGCAGCTTCCAGGGCTGGAGGGAGAGAGGGAGGGGGAGACAGCTGGGTGAAATGGCAGCACAGGACTCCGGCACCCTGGGACCCCTAGCTGTGGGAGTTCTGTGCGTGTGGCTTCAGCTGGGCAGTGCTGCCTCACCTTCAGAGGAGAGCTGCTCATACTCATCAGATACCATGTGGCCACAGAGCGGGAACTCATCCACTTTTGCCTTCTTCCGCCCCAGATCAAAGATGCGAATTTTGGCATCTGAAAAAGGCTCAGGTTAAGTGCACGTGGGGTGCCACACACACAGGTCAGTGCAGCCACTGCTGCTTGGGGCTCACCCAGGACTTACCAGGGACCCCTCGGCAGAAACGAGACTTGGGGTACGGCTTGTTCTTACAATACCGGTAACTGCAGAGGGAGAAAACCAGGTTGGGAGCTATTCACAAGCAAACTAGGCAACACTTCTGAGTGGCCCCTTTAGGACGGAAGAAAGGGTGGGAAACGGTATGAATAGTCGTTTATCTCCAGGGGGTCTCTATCTCTGGAAGCTCGAAAGCTAAACATGGTCGCCAAGTATACGACAAAAGTCACAGGGGCATCAAACGCCAAGGCCAACGCTTTGAAAAGGAGCTCAGCTGCAGCCCGGCCGGAGTCGCATGTGCCCCGCGCCCGCCTCCCAGCCACGTGAAGGGATGCAGGCGCCCCCTGCGGGCACACGAGGCTCCGGACACTTTACGGGACCGCACGGCACGTCGTCCGGAAATAGATGGCACACAAAGGCCTGAGAGGGAATCAAGCCCGAAAGGTCGCGAATGTCCAGGACACAAGGCCAGATGCAAGGCGGACACGCTTCTAGATCAACACTGGCACAACACAGGCGGCCCTGGGCCAATCGGCCACCAGAACAAAAGGGGGGCGGGGGAGACGCCACGGAGCGGCACCAAGTTTTAAAGGAAAGCGGGGCACACGGCACGGAGAGGTGTGGAAGGGCCCGGAAGGCAGCGGGGGCCACCTGCGGTCTCCAGAACGGGACGATGTGGCCAGCGAGGTCCCACCCGACGACTTCTCGAAGTGGCCAGCAGCATTTCCCTCCCTTTTCCCAGCTGAACCTCGCGCGGACTTGCGACTTACCACCGAGCGGGGCGGCGGCCCATGGCGACACCAGGATCTTGGGCGGCTGCGAGAAAATAAAATCAGAACAGAAAAAGAGGCCCGGACTCAAACTAGGGGGCAGCAACAACAAGCGCCGCGCGCACTAGATCTGAGCCAGCACTACTCACCGCGCCGAAGGCAAAGAGGCGATCTCACGCCCGCGCTGGCCTTATATACGCCGACTATCTTCACGCCCTAACAACCATAGAGTTTCAGCCAGGCGTGAGGACGCTCTATCTGGCGTCCGGATCATAGACGCAATAGGTGTCTGCGCCTGCGTCAGGGCGTGGCATAGCACATGCGCAGAACAAGACAGCGCCAGACTAGCGAATGAGGCCTCGCCACCTCGGTACGAGGCGCCCGCCCCGGGAAGCCATCTTGGGCGAGCGCTCTCGCCTGCTTCGCCTTAACTGTGCCAGACGTGCGTTCCAGGGGTGGGACAACGAAAGTGCCCGCCAGCAGTGCTCACGGGGGGCGGCGCGCGTGCGCCCAGGGGTGCTGTATTCAGAGCCTAGCGGGCCGGTGCCGCGCTGGAGCCTCTCCGGCCGCGTCCTTTTGTTCACGGGAAGCCGGGGCGGGAAGCGCGACCCCCGGCTTGTTGGCGGGCTCGCGGCGAGCTGAGCGCCTTCTCCCCGTCTCTGGGCTCTGGGGCAGCGCCTGTGGCCACCCCGGCCGGCCGCCACGAGCCGGAGAAGCCCCGGGCGCGGATGCCCGCCGGGGCCGGCCCGCCCACCCTGACCCGGCAGAGGAAAGAGCTGCAGGTCGCTCCGGGTTAACGGGGGGAGGGAAAGCCAGGAAGAGGCCCCGCCCGGGCGGAGCGCGCCGCGGCTCGCCTCTGGCCCCGCCCCGGGCCTGCCTCTCCAGCCCGGCTCGCCGGACCTCCCCGCCCACTCGCGAGCGCGGCGCCCTCGGCGGCCGGCGGGGCTGCGGCTGGGGTCAGCAGTTCCTAGTGTCGCTGGGAGGGTCTCGCACACACTGGCGGGGACAGTGTAGGGATTTGTCTACGCACACAAGATCTCAGGTACAGGCCAGGGGCGGGGTGAGCATTTTCCCAGGAGACAGTGGGGAGTAGAACGGGCCAATCCCAGGCAATGCACTGCTGGGGTGCAGCGGGGAGACCAGTGGGGTCTGCTGCACCCCGGGGGTCCCTCCCGGCTGGGATGGAGCTCGGGCCGCAGCGGTGGGCGACAGCTTCCTAGCGCTGACACTTAAGTCCTTGCGCCCCGGGAAGCCCTTCCCAGGGATCTTTCACCAGTGCGTCCCCTTGGACAGGAGTGCCGAGCGGCGGGTACTCTCAGTGACCACG